CTGTTGCTCAGAGCTCAAACTCTTGAGCGAGCTCTTAACCAACTGAGCCACTCGGCCGGCCCCTTATTTTGATTTTTATATAGTCAGATCTAAGCTTTCCCAGTCCATGTTGACAAATCTGAATTCCCACATTTTCTCCTAATCAAAGGCATTCATGTAGTCAGCCTGAGGGAGGAACTTGGGAGCTCTCCCAAGGTTTAGATATTTGAGAAGGTGAACAGGACACTTGATCAAAATGATAGGCTCCCACATTATGCATTTGACCTGTAGAACATTACAAATTTTAAAATCAAAGACTAACAGACTCAATGAATCCAAAAAACATTACAGTTATGCAATTAATTGTGTCACCACCCCCACCCCACCCCGCAAGCACACACACACAAATCCTTATGTTGTTTGTGTTGTAGTCCCAACACCCATACTTCAAAATGTGGCCTGTTTTGGAAATAGGGTCTTTACAGAAAATTTAGTTAAAATCAAATAATTATGGTGGGTTCTAATTCCATATATTGACAACAAACAATTACAATTAAAATTTATATATATATATATATATATATATATATGATTTACAATAGCATCAACAAATATGATATTTAGGGGTAAATTTGACAAATGATATGTAAGATGTATAGACTGAAAGATACAAAACAATTCTGAAATTTTGGATCTAAATAACAGAGAGTTACTGTGTTTTTGGATTGGAAGACTCATTATAAAGTTATTTCTTTCCAAATTGAATACTAGAACCAATGTAATCCCAATAAAGACCCTAGGAGAAAATTTTGTAGATATTCACAAAAGAATTCTAAGATATATCTATGGAAATCCAGATGAACTATGTTAGCAAAAAAGCATTCAAAAGGAATAACAAATTTAAAGAACTAAAACTACTAATACTGTTTTTATGAAGATACAGTACTTGAGAAACTATGGTACTGATGTAAAGGTAGACAAATATAAAATTGGAACTGAATAAAACATCCAGAAATAGACCCACACATACATAATCAGTTGATTTTCAACAAAAGTACCATAACAATTCAATGCAGAAACAATAATCTTGTTAACAACTATGCTTTAAAAGTTGGACAGCCATATTCATTAATACAAATATTCAAACTTTATTTCACGCCATACAAAAAAATTCAATCTGAATGGATCATAGGCCTAATGAGAGAGCTAAAACTATACCCTTCTAGAATAAAATATTAGGGAAAATCTTGCATACTTTGGGTTTGGCAAAGACTTGTTAATTTTAACACAAAGGATACAAGACACAAAGTTTTAAAAATCAATACAAATTAAGAACACAACTACCATATGATCCAGCAATCCCTCTTCTGCATATACAGTCAAAGAAATGGAAATCCAAATCTTGCAGATATCTGCACTTCCTGTTCATTGCAACATTATTCACAATACCAAGACAAAGAAGCAACCTAAGTGTCCATCCACAGACAAATGGATTTTTTAAATGTGGTATTTAAATACAATGAAATATTATTCAACCATAAAAAAAGAAGGAAATCTTGCCATTTCTGACAACGTGGATGAACCTGGAGGACATTATGCTAAGTGAAATAAGCCAGACACAGAAAAACAAATTCTACATGATCCCCTTTAATGAGGAATCTGAAATAGCCAAAACCATAGAGGCAGAGGAAGGATGAAGTGGTGGCTACTAGGGGCCAGAGAGAAGCAGGGGAGTGAGGAAGTATTGGTCAAAGTGTACAAAGTTCCAGTTATGCAAGATGAATAAATCTTAGAGATCTACTCCACAGCATTGTGCAATAGTTAATAATATTGTATTGTATACTTTAAAAATTGCTAAAAGAGTAGATATTATGCTAAGCTTTCTTACCACAAAAAAAGTAAATAAAAATAAAAATTAAGAAATAAAGAGAGCAGGATAAAACTTCTGCAGTTGATGGATATGTTTATGGCATTTATTGTGGTGATTGTTTCACAAATGTTTACTTATTGCCAAACTCTCATCAACTTTAATACATTAAATATGTACAGCATTTTGTACGTCAATATGCCTTAATAAAGTATTATTTTCAATCAATACACTCAAATTCATATTAAATGTTTACTTTTTAAAAGATACTGTCAGGAAAATAGAAACAAAAGCCAGAAAATGGGAGAAAAATCTTTTGAAAACATATTCAACAAAAGGTGTGTGTATAGCATAATCAGATAAATGCTCATTTTTTTTAAATAGGTCAATGATTTAAACAGATACTTCACCAAAGAAAACCTGTGCATGATAAATAAGCACTTGAAAAACATGCTCAATGTCATTAGGCTTAAGGGAAATGCAAATTAAAACAACAAGATACCACTGTGAACATGCTAGAAAACCTAAAATAAAAATGACCAACCATTCCTAGCATTGGCAAGGTTTTAGAGACACTGGAACTCTCAGGCACTGCGACTGGGAATGTCATTGGCACAATCACTCAGAAAACAGTTGTATGTTTCGTAAAAAGTTAAACATGCACCTATCACAAACACCAGCAATTCCACTTTTGGGTTAGATATTAACCCAAAATAAATAATAGCTTATGTCCATACAAACACCTACACATGAATGTTCACAAGAGCTTGGAAAATAGTGATTGAAAATAACCCCAAAGTCCATCAACAGGTGAATGGATAAATAAGTCATGGTATAGCTACACAATGGAATACTACAGCAATGAAAATGAATGAACTGCTGATAAATACAACCACATGGATTAATCCCCAAATCAATGTGATGAAAGAAACCAGACAAGACAGAATATATACTCTAGGATTCTGTTTACATAAATCTCTAACAAATGCAACCAATCTATAGTAAGAGAAGTCAGACCAGTGATTGCCTAGAGCTGAAATGGAGTTGGGAAAATGAAGTAAGAAGGTATAGCGGTGGGATTCAAAAGGAGCGCAAGAAATAGGGCCACAAAAGAACTTTCGAGGTAATGCATATATATGCTCATTATCTTGATTGTGGTAATGATTTCACATTTGTGTGCCCATGTCAAAAATGATCAAATTGTACATGTTAAATACATGCAGTTTATTATATGTCAACTATGCCTCAGTAAAGCAGTTGTTTTTAAAAGATGACAATTAAAAGCACACAGAGCTAGGGCCGGCTGAATGGCTCAGTTGGTTAAGAGTTAGCTTAAGAGCATGAGCTCTGAGCAACAGAGCCTCTGGTTCAATTCCCACATGGGCCAGTGATGCTGTGTCTGAGCTGAGTTGCTGCTGAGCTGCCAATAGGTGGCAAGATGGCTCAGCTGATGAGAGCATGTGCTCCTAACAACAAGACTGCTTGTTTGATGGTGGGCTATGCCCACCCGCAACTAAGACTGAACTAGCACCTTGAGCTGAGCTGCTGCCCGAATAGCTCAGGGGATAGGACGTGCACTTTTAACAACAAGGCTGCTGGTTTGAATCCCATGTGGGATGGTGGCTACGCCAACCCGCAACTAAGATTGAACATAGCACCTTGAGCTTAGAGGCCACGAGCTGCTGACGGGCAGCCTGGTGGCAACTGGCACCCTCCACAACTAAGACTGAAGAACAACAACTAGTCTGGTCCCCTGCCCCAATTCCGCAACACTGTTCCCTTCCTGCAATTCCCCAATTTGTAAAAACAAAAAACAAAAAAAACA